TAATAATAATAATAATAATAATAATAATAATAATAATAATAATAAACTGAGCGAAGAGGCTCAGTGCGTAGCGCTGACTTCACAGTCGGGAGGCCCGGGTTCGATCCCCGGGCGGGCCGACCGCCTTGACCGGTGTTTTCGTGGTTTCCCTCGGTTATACAGACGAATTCTGGGATGGTTCAAAAATCCCACAATCACCTCTCATCATCATTCTATCACCTCATAATTCAAAACTTAACAACCTTGTGTTACCGAGGGATACAGCCGGAAAGCTGATCCCTATAATAACACACTTTAATCTCTCCGGAATAGAATATAACAGAGCCTTGTCAAAATAGCCGATATGCAAATAATAATAATAATAATAATAATAATTATAATAATAATAATAATGTCTGTATTTCTGGCGAGGCTCAAGCCATAACGACTTCCCCTCCAACTAATAAATAAATACGTTCACATTGTTACAAAACATAATGGATTGCGGGTCGCATGATTGGGCACGATACTCCCTCTCGCACCCCTTCCCCACTCCAATCCTCGAGATCGATTAATGGGTTGATCTCCCGTCCCTGAATGACCCGTCAGCCATCCAGATCCATCTATATCCCGGTGGTATCTCGGGCGCGCAGATGTTAGGCCTAAATCGGGTTGTAGCGTCATCGGAAGGAAGTAGATGTTGGAAATGGAAGTTGTTTTTGTTTGCAGTTGATTCGATGCTGATGATGCAGCTCATAACGCTTCCTGCAGGTGCCAACACGACCTCGGTGATTACCAGAGACCCGAAGCCCATCATCTCGAGTGCAAAATCGCTGAGGACCACGCGCCGCGCGCAAATATTAGGCTGGCGCGCTGCTTTCTAATCTTCGTTGCTTTTTTGCACTTCTCTCTGCAACGCCGCTATTTGGGTCGCTCTAATATAACTCTGGATTATCTGAGGAGTTTCTTCTGGCGAGGAATACAATGCAAGTGGGTCGTGTCCTTCAAAAAGGCAACGGCGCGTCGGGGGGGCGGTGGTGTTTCCTCCCTCCCTCCCTCCCCTCCTCCCTCCCCTCCCTCCCGATGCCGCCGGGGGCGGCGCTGGCTTTCTCGGCTCGGACTCGCGCCATTACATCCCGCCTCGCACCTCCGGCCTCGCCCCCTCGCCACGCCTCCCCGCCCCGAGATCGAAGCGTCCTCCCTTTTCCCGGCTTTTTATATTAATATTTTTTACCATCTCGGTGATATGTATGTGTGAAATTTCAGAAAGCCCAGATTCGAACCCACTATATTTTTGGCGTTGTTGTGTCTTAATCAATAAAGGTGAGCACCTTATGGACTCTTTTGGGCTTTGTATGATATATATAATATCATAATAATATGGTTTATCTACACGATTGTTTTGTGTATGCAGTGGTTTTCTTTGTCAATCTCGTCCTTCATCATGTGGTGAAAGCACTAGTATTTTATGCAGGATTTTCATTTCAGTTTTAGTACTTTCTCTTCAAATAATTGTAATTTTCTCTGTCATTTCTTAACGTCACTGGTACGTTTGTAGTGTTTGACACTTAAATTAGGACATACATTAACATTTTAACTATGAGTAACGCGTTGTTTCACTTTGGACTGCAATAATTAATGTTACAAGTTCAGAATTATCCAGATTTCCTGTACTATTTGATAGGGAATTTAAGATCTCGTATGCATTATGAGAGTGTAAAACCATGAAATACTTCCCAATTTTATTCACCTTGTAAGGTTGCAAAGGTGTTTTGAAATGTCTTGTAATGCCTAGAAAATTACGAAATATATATGCAATGTAAAACTTGCATAAAAATTGTTAAACGTGAGTCGAATTGTTCCTTGAACAATGAGGCATTAATTTCATTATCGATTAATATAATTTTCCACTCTAAAGTTTTACATCCAGAGAGAACTTGAATATGAAAATTAATGTTTTGGTTCTGGTTCATTTGTACCGCACGTAAAAGGCAAGTTTACATTTTTCACAACTTAAAATGTAAGTCATGTTAAGTTTAAAAAACCTCTCCACTATCTTTAAGCCACTTTCCCGTATTCTTTAAAACTGTCTTTTAATATACTTGTGTGCATATCATTTGTATAAGAATGATTGTGAAATTTATATTCTTGGTATGTTTTTTAGATGTGATATATAGTAATGTGTGCTTTCGTTGTTATTTGGATTGCGGACTGTTAAATCAGTGCAAGAGTAAAATATTGAGCTCCGAGAATTCTCATTCCTTTCGATTGCTGACATTATAACTATAGTATTGACATAAAAGTATATGCGCATTTTTCAGAAATATTTCAAAGATGATGTATTTACAGATAATACAGTTGATTGCAATAATGTATCATACTAAATCACAAGTGAATTTGATAACAATTGCAATTCTACTCGAGAGAGCCCATTCAAAATAGCAATAAAAACAAATCTACATTTGTAACTCTCATTTCCTCTTACAGCATTCCTTTAATCTAGGATTATAATAGTTTGAATCCTAAATGTTTCTGCAGTTTGAATGAAAAGAATGACCTCATTTATATTAATGGCATATAATTAAGTTTATGTACAAATCCAAGAATCTTTGATTTATTATCTGTTGATATTATTCGTGTGCTCACAAGTTTTATCGATTTCATCATGTCTGGAGCTCGTTTCTCTATCCACGCGTCGCGCGCATTATCCTGGTGGTGTTCCCAGTGCTTTCCGAGCAGAGAATGGATGAGTGGGTGGGTGCAGACGCTCTCGATGGCGCAGGCGGCTGAGGCGACCGACGCGATAGACGCGACTCCGACGCGACCGACTCGACGCGAGCCCACGGGCGCCTGCCGCCCTCGGGTGCTCGCTACCTTGCAACCGCACGCTCTCTCGTCTCCGCGTCTCCTCCGGTCTCGTCCGCGTGTCGCCGCTGACTCCTCCGCGTTCCTCCGGTCTCCTCCGCGTCTCCTCCGTTCCTCCGCGTCTCCTCCGCGTCTCCTCCGCGTCTCCCTGCGTCCTCTCCGCGTCTCTCCGCGACTCCTCGCGTCTACACCGCTTCTCCGCTCCTGCGACTCCTCCGCGACTCCTCACGGACTTCCTGCGATCTCCGCGACTCCTCCGCGACTCCTCCGCGTCTTCCTCCGCTTCCTCGGTCTCCTCCGCGTCTCTCCTCTCGCTGTCTCCGCTCCCGCGACTCCTCCGACGGATTCCTCCGGATCTCCCGACGATCTCGCGGCTCTCGGTCTGGCCCTGGACAGCGGATTTCCGCAGTCTTGTAAGGAGCTCCTTCGATAATGTTGAACGGTGCGTCCGTTCGTATCGTCGCCAAGTCCTTTCGCGCGTCTACAAACTCGCGAAAGCAGAGTAACATTTCTGCTTGATGAGTGTTGTGGAACAAGCTTTGCTTTCAGAAGCTCCAACGCAAACACACGCCAGACTCAGAGCAAAACAAGCGCGTGGTTGTGGAACGTGGTGACGCGTGACGAGTGGCAAAACGGACGGCGACGACGGCAACTCACTGTTCGGTTGAACTTTGTCCTCTGGCAGCCGGGAGAGGCGCACACAAGCCTTCTCACCGGCGCCGCGCACATGTGGCGTAGACACACGTAAACTCCACACGCGAGGACATCCGCAATAGTCATGCAAACAAAGCGTTGACGGGCGGGGGCGGCGTGGGACCCGTCGGATGGCGCGGTGTCGCCGCGGCGGCCTCAACTCCACTCCCCCCTCGCACCGCCCGCCCGGGCCCCGCGTGCCTCGAGAGCGCGGAGAACAGTTTGCGCGCTTATGAAGCGCCGTCTCGCCGTCCTTGGCGCATCCACGCTCGGACGGCGGCGGGCGGGGGCGGCGAATGCGGAGGGGCAGCATCCACGCCGCCCGCCTGCCCGCCCGGACGCCCGTCCCGATGAAAACGACGCGGAGGCCCACGTAATCTCCACATCATGCGGGAGCTCAACGGGATGCGATACGAATAGACGATTGCGTGCGTTATTCGGATTCAAGCCAAGACGTACCTTCGTGGAGGATTCTTTAATCAACGTATTTGAGTTCTAATATGAGTTTTACCATAACACTTTTTTTAAGACACGCGAATTTTCCTGTTTTTTATATTTTAATTAATTATTTTGTCGTCCTATGTTGTGTACTGAAATTAAAATTTATTTAAAACACATCAAGCTTGGATAATATTAACATGAGAATGTGAAAATGAAAACGAAACAAGGATACGTGTTTGCTTTCTGTGTCTATATCTGTAATAAAAAAGTCATGCATATTTTATAAGTGAATAGTTATATTCATAAATAAGTTGGGAAACCCGTCTTATTGGTTTGATTAGTCAGCGCTCTTCCATAGTTTCTAACAGTAGGAACTCGTAAATACACATGGCCTTCAAACGAAGTTCCGGCTAGAGGCGAATAACGGAAACGAAATTCCAATTGAAATGAGAGGAAACTGTCTGCAAGACTTCTCTACGGTAAATGGCGTCCCACTACTAGTCAGGTCGGGCCAGATAGACACAAAAGCAACATTCGCGTAATATTGTTTACATTGCAGCCCCATGCGCAGACATTGTAGATAGTGGGTGGGTCTCCTTGGTATCGTTCGTCACCGTGGACAAAATGTTGACCCCTGCGGGCCCCGCGGAATCTCGAGGCGCGGCGCGCGGGCCGTGGCGGTCGTGGGAGAGTTGCCGAAGGAGCCCGTGATGCTGCGCGGTCTCGCCTTGGGCGGCGTGCGCCCGCGGCGGGGCGGGGGTGGGGCGGGCGGGCGGGGGAGGCGGGGGATTGCGCAAGGCGCGCCGCCGCGTCACACTGTGGCGCCCGCTGTGATGCGCGCCGCCTGCGCAGCGCGAAAGCGCGTGACGTGAGCCGCCGGCGGCCGCCGCCCGCGCCGCCCCGTCCGCCCGCCGCCGCCCCCCGCCGCGCCGCCGCCCCGCCGCGGGCGACGGACGACGGAGAAACACGGGCCACGCACGTCACGTCGCCCACTCCCCCGCACCCCCGGGTGCGTGGTCGAGATGGATGCCCCCACGCTGCTTTCTCTGAGGGGAATATATCGAGAGCTGCGGAAAAGCGAACAAAAACGCACCTGTCTTCGTGTGTTACGAGGAAAATTGTATATCAAGGTTACTTATGATACCTACGAAGGCGTCTGACACTCTTCGTTTCCACGAACTTTCTTGTCCGAGAGCGAGCAAGAGTGACTTCCTTGTCTGTTACGGATTAAAGCATTGTTCCATGTTCACAAATTAACTGTAGGACATTTAACAACAATATATTAATTTTGCGTGCCGTTTTCATAATCAGGTTGTATTTTATAATTGGGTCCCGACCGTTTAGAAGTGTTCGGTACTCATGGGTCTCAACAAAAAATATTTAAGATTAGTTGGGAGTTGAAGAGATATGTTACAAGACCTATCTTATAGATTATGATACTATGCAGTGTCTTGGTAAACATTTCACAATGCTCTCTCTCTTTCTCTCTCCCTCTGCCTCTCCCTCTCCCTCTCCCTCTGCCTCTCCCTCTGCCTCTCCCTCTCCCTCTCCCTCTCCCTCTCTCTCTCTCTCTCTCTCTCTCGTTCACCCGATTTTTCATGAGCAGTGAATGCAAGAATCTTAACACTTCTTAAAATTTATTTCTATGACATCCATTATCTATCGGTCTACAATAGTACCATGTGTTGTCACAGACTTTCTTGCAATGATACATTTTTAGTATAACTAGTGAAACATATTTTGCGAATTGATCTAGAAAGGCGCAAACTACAAATTTGTTGAATGACTATCATAGGCTGTGGCAAACTAGTTTTATCGCAAACGTTCGACTCTCGAATATCTTCACTGAAGTGTAGCAGAAGGGGGCTACGGTTGTGCGGCAAAGAGAATACACATTCTGCAGTAATGATTTCTTACAAAACCAGTAATTTGTTATTATAAATTTACTCACGCTTTTACTGCTTATGAAAATTATTTACGTAATACTTTCTGTTGTATACCAGTCGTAATCTCTGAACATTGAAAATTTCACTTGAGTATTTGGGAAAAAATATCTTTTTACGAAATTACATCTACAATGATTTTAACAAACCATACTCTATGAACTCATTATTTTTCATCTCCATTTCACACACTACCCGTGTCTGAAAGAAAACTTTATGATCAAATACAAAACCATAATGCTATCGTGTTAAATAATAATTAGGCTTGTTTTTGGCTAATAAATATTAGTCAATGCCAATGGCAGCGACGAAATGCAATGAGTTTAGAACCATATGTTATCGCCATGGTGGATAAGGTGATTATTATCCAGGATGAGGCCGGAGGCACTGAAGGACGCGAGCACCCTACGGCCTCGAAGGCCTCTTGAATCTCTTTGCCCCTTGAGGCGCCAGTCGGCATTCCAAGCATTTCTTACTGTCATTAAACGCAAGGTCTGCTTAACCCTAGAAGGCTAGAGGTGGTCAAATTGACTACACGTTATTTTGAATATGTTTCTTCGGTCTCTTTTTATGTTATCTACCTGGCAGATTCAACAGCTTCAATTGACTTCAAATCAAAGAAGAAACGTGATTCTGATTCATTTTAAAGGTTCAGAAATTGATTTGCTATTTTAAACGTTTTAGTCTCAGTTGTTCATGAAAGGCGATAGCATTAAGTTGCATATTGCATATCTGAGGATGGATCGTATTAATGTCATATGGAATCACAAAAAAATCTTTGGTGAACGGTTACATCATTTACTCGCGAAACATTTCAATAATGACAGTTCCCTGACTCGACTGTTTTGAAAGAATCTTTGCGATGATTCATGGCCGGCATGAAAATTAACGGGTTCGCTAAGCTCGTCCTTGACGAAAAACTGTACCCCCTCGAAATTAATCAGAAGCTCACTAAAAAGTGAACGTAGAATATACGTCTTCTGTAGAAGCAATTACAGATAAATTATTATGTTTTGCAGTAATTTCTTGTTTTATATTAATACTGTAAAAATACATACGATAGTTTAGCTGTTTATATAGAACATGGAAATTAGTGTGTCGAAATATGTAATTCTTTACTTACGTCTTTCTGATATTCTCAGCTTTGGTGATTAACCAGTAACCTGGATTTCTGTAAAATATCATCTTATTTTTGACATTTCTTTACACATTCATAGGAAATTAATAAAAAATTATGAAAATTCTTATTTCTATTCTCAGAAAAAAGAACGTAGAATAATGTTCAAGAACAAGTATACCTTTCAGTTTTATATCCTTTTATGAAATGCGAATTATTATCGCGGGGAAAATAAAAGAGCAGCCTAGCTTCTTTGATAACATTTTCGTATATATATATAATGTTCAGAAAGCTCATTAGTATCAATTTTGTTTTGCAATTACTCTTTTTCAAGAGATCTCTTTCAGGTGTTTCCAAGTAGAATAATGCTGTAAATGAGCATGATGTATTCAATGTTTCGTCATATTCATTAGCTACAATGCATTCCCTATCAGAATTTATTGGTTAAGTAAAAATAACGCTCTTGTGTGAAAATGGGGAAAGCATATTCTCTTTTGCAATTAACTGTGAAATTAGTGACAATTCCGCAATTAAATCTGAACTTTAAACAATCGCTATTTTGTTTGTCCCTTAAAGATTCCATTTATATTTTTTTTATTCAAGTACTGAATATACGGATATATGAATACGCGGTCAATAAAAACATATTAAAAATATTCATATCCAGGCAATATCTCAAATCCACCCAGGAGATCGGATATTGTGCGCCCCTACGAGTAGTTGTTTTGTTCATAGCTCATTCCAGGTATGCTATGCTTTTCAGATCCGTCTCCGATGGCCTAATTTTCGAGGATGCTCCTCGATACTCCAACCGTGTGGACGATCCCACTCACCCAGAGCTTCCGCCTCCCGAGGCAGACCACCACAGGGTCCCGGTGGCTCTCGGAAAGCTCTACTCGTCGAACCAGGACCCCGTCCTCTTCATCTCCGGTGATTTCAGCGTTCACTACACAGAGATACAAACAGGCTCGTCGCGAAGGATGGACGCATATTTGAGGTAAGTGACCAATCGGAACATCCACAACGAGGTTGCGGTAGGTGCGTTCGCGCGTGGGGTGTGGACTCATTACACGGCGTTCAGGGGCAATACCTTTGATTCCTCTTAGCAAAGGACGTGACTTCCTGAGAAAAATGTTTCTATAACTACCAAGAAAGTAAACATAGTTAAAATGGACCTGTTTGATGAAAAGGGTAAAAGAAATTAACTGATTCTTTACTAAGGAAATTGTGTGTGTAGTTATGTAATAAACGTTCACGATGATTCAGTAAAGGGAATACCTGTTTGGGATGTTTTTCACGAATTGCCTGTATGCACATACAGGAATCTGTTGGCTGCAAACGAGTATTTTTCTCGATTCACACTTTTCCTTGTATATAATAGTGCAAATATAATCCCATCTTGTTTACTTCAGAAGCATGTTGTCCGAGTGGTTAAGTTGGGAATACGTTATATACCTTCTAAATTCCAGCGACATTCTCTAGTATCGAGGAGTTACTCAAAGAAGGAACCACTTTGAGAGGTCGGGAAACAAATGAACGTCATGCATAGCAATGATATTCCTAGAGATACTGATGAAGACATTCAAAAATTATCCAACTGTAAACGAACGCTCTGACAAAATGAGTACATGGACATAACTTGCAGTTATTTTGCCAGTACTGGCTAAGACGTAACTGTTAAAGCGGTCTCTTCTTAGAGTAAACTCACTGGAAGAGGTGGTACAGGGCATCAACTGATGTCACTGCAGGACCTCTGACCGGGAGATCCTACGTTCGAGTCCCTACGGTGGCAGAATTTTCGACATTAAATTGTCAGCTAGGTCGAATTCAGTCGCAGTCTGGAGGAGAATTCTAGCGGCCGGCTGATCTGACCCGTAGTTTGCCGAGGTTTCTCCGATCAGCACCAGGCGAATGCCAAACGCTAGGCGAATAACAAATGGGCCATGGACGCGCGATCTTTCCTTCCTCTCCCTTATCTTATCCTCTCCCCTTACTCCATGCGCTAATTTTCACACATGCCGGAAGACCGATCGGCAGCTTGTACGAGTAGCCTGTCCTGGCTAGTGCGGTATCCCGCTGGTGGGAGACATGTGATTGAGGGAAAAACCGATAGCCGACGGTAAGTCGGAGCCGGATCTCGCCATCCAGCGGGGGGATAATCTCCGCCACCTACCGAGCAATAAACATGCAATACACTTACGGGAGTATTGCCCTAAGCCGTTGACACGCCCGGAATCACTAACTGTCACTCAATCATTATAGTGATCTCTTTGTAAGAGAGGGCTCTGCGAGAGGCTGAGTGGGTGCATCCGAGCTCGGCTGCTCCGCTCCCAGTCCAGGATTCGCCCTTCCCCGTGGCGAGGCGCGCGCGCCACCGCTCGCCGCACACGAACGAGGGCACATCCACATCGCCCTCGCCCGCCCTCGCCCGCCCCCGCGACCCCCGACCCGTGGGCGCGGGGCGGCGCACGCGCGGCGGGGGGTTATCGCGGCGGTCACGACGCGCTCCGCCGCCATGCATCACGCCGCCTGTCGGCCGCCTGCCCGCGCCGCGCACGCACCGCCTGAAATACGCGCGCGCCGCTGCGTTCGTCTTACGTAACGCGGGGGAGCGGGCGGCGGCGGCGGCGGCGGCGATCGCGATCTGGCGCGGCGTGCGCGCGGAAAAACGAGCCATTAGCCGCGGGCGGCGGAGGCGGAGGCGGCCGCGCGGCGAGTTGCGTAAGGTTCGTCGTCGTCCGCGCGTTCAAGTCTCCACAGCTGCCACGCGGCTGGACGTACAAGCGACGGCGGCGGGGGCCGCATCAGGGCTGGGGACGCCTCACGGCGAAACGCTTGTTACCTCCGCGATTTCGTCGGATGCTCGTCATTATTGTGTTGTCAAAATCAGATTTTTTTTGCCCTTCTTGTTCAAGTGATGTCTACAAGGTACTTAATTTTCTTGCAGGGTGCGTTTTTCTCATGGATTGGATACCTTACCATCTCGATACTGGCACTAGTGTTCATCACTTTCACAAGACAATGAGCGATTATTGAGTGTTTCTGGTCGTATCAACTACGTTGGTGCTTGTCCCGTGAGTGTAGTGCATGGCATAGCGGCGGTTCTCCTGCCCCGCTTTAATGCATCTCTCACACCAGAATATCCGGGATTTAATATGGGATCCTTTTGTAATCTAGAAGTTACGGGGTAGATACAGAAAAGGCACACTGATTTTTGTTTTCCCTGAAAGATACCGCACGATTTCAGTAGATAAGCAATATGAAGGAAGTGTCATGACGTTTTCTCTTCTGGAAATAATGTTTAATTTTCTCATTTGCATTCCAACAAGCGTCAAAAAGATATATCCCTTTGACGAAATAATCCTCTCTCGGCGTATGCAAATTAGAATATATGCATTCTGACCATGCGTTCACATCATAATTCAACACGCTTCGTAAGTTAGATTCTCACAGACCGAGAGGCGTTAAAAATACTTGTTTCACAAACTAGCACAACTGTATATAACATCCCATCGGGCCAATTATCTAAGAGGATATATGAAGAGGGGGCAAATCTCCTTGGCAAGTAGCCACTGCGCTGACTGAACAGAACTACTCTTCGATCGCCTTTGCAGCCGCCCTTCTTGTGCACCACACAAATGGTCGTTTGCAATGCGATTCATTTTGAAATCAGCATGCGCGTATTTGACTTGTTAAAATTGGCGCAACTGCTTTTACACGTTTAATTGTGCCTACTATCATGCACTTTAGTATTGGTTCAGATTACTTGAATAGAAATAGGCAGTTACATGTTTGCATTTCACCGTAACGTATGTACAGACAAGGCTGAGTAGATACAGTAATCTTCCTACACGTAACTTGACTGAAGGTCAAGCAGAGCCAAGATATGCAACAACTTTGTCGTGAATTTTCCTCATGGGCTGAATTTTAGTCTTTTAAGCTAATGTATTGGGAATTTTAATATTTTAAAATTATATGAATCTTTTCTACGTCGACTTGTGCACATTTATTGCCATTTAGAAAGGCAATAGACGCTGAGGTAAATCATATTGTAAATGTGACTGGTACGGTAAATTAAAAAAAAAGAGAAGAAAACCAACCTTTCCGGGTTCAAAATTTAAATGCTAGTAAATTGTAGTTTAACGCATGACTATGTTAAGGAGATAAATCGGAACTGATTTGACGTTAAACGGTAACTGTTTTAGTCATTAAATACAAATATCGATGCGGGAAGTCGATTTTTTCGTTTGCAGTCAGAATATGGATAAAGCTTTTTTTTAGTGAATTCGCGTCTACAGATTTTAGTTATACCAATTTCTTAATTTATGAAAATCGTCAATAAAATCACAATTTAAGCGGTGGGCTACCCAACACCCCTTCCTCTTGACAATGCTTGACAATGCATTTCCGTATTGCCAGAGTTATTGAATTGAATTATCGTATTTAATTTTGAGCTGAGGCACATGTTAATACTTCCAAATCCACTCCCGTCGTCATCGCTGATCGGCAACATCGTAAACGCTTGGCAACATCGTGAGTGATCGGTAGGGTTGTAAGCGATCGGCAGCTTTGTAAGCTATGGGAAGCAATCGGCAGCATTGTAAGTATTTGACAACATCGTAAGCAATCGTCAACGCCGTAAGCGACCGGCATCATCGAAAGCGATTGCCAGCATCGTAAGCGATCGGTAGAATGGAAAGCAAAAGGCAGCATCGTAAGCGATCGCCAGCATAATTAGCGATCGGCAGTATTGTAAGCGTTCGACAGTATCGTAAGCGATTGCCAGCATCGTAAGCGATCGGTAGAATCAAAAGCGGTTGGCAGCATCGTAAGCGATCGCCAGCATAATTAGCGATCGTAAGCGATCGGCAGTATCGTAAGCGATGGGCTGGGTCTTACGCGATCGGCAGGCTGGCGGGAGCAGGTGCTCTCCGCGTTGCGCTCGCATTGCCGGCCGAGTGGCGCAGGCGCTGCGTGCGCAGGCGCGGGGGCCTCAGCTGTGCTGAGTAAGCGCGCCTAAGTGGCGCCGCACAAAGCGCCGCGTTTCTCCTCGTGCGCGCGCGAGGCACAGTGGGCCCCCAGGCGCCACGAGAGCGCACGGCGTAACGCGTGCGGCTGCCAACCTCCCGCTGCAACCGGCAAAAAAATTAAGTTCGTCTTAAGGCTGAATATTAGTTATTAATAGGGGCCGGATGTTTATGCCATTAAACGTGTTAGAAATATGCAGGCATTGATGACCTAAAAAAATATGGAAATATGACCATGGATATGACTTAAAAATGTCTTGGTGGCATTTTCGTAATCTAAATCATTCCGCTGTTTAAATAACCATTATATTGAAAATATACTTTTAAAATCTAGCACATGCATAATTCACACCGTCTGTTACATGTCCCCGGGGGTTCATGTAAAGTACCTCCCAAAATTTGAATAACGGTTTCAAATTCAAGGAGCTGCGAAATCAGCTAGATCAATTATTGAGGAATATCAATATTAAAGAAAATCGGCTAAACGGTTTAACCGCTAGCGTTGTTCACAGACGGGCGGACAGACTGACAGACGTTCTGCCGTCATTCAATTTTTTGGTATCAAGAACTCACAAAACATAGATTTGGGCTACACCACGTGCTAGAGGATTTTATTTCTAAATTTAGCAACTAGATTTATCTACTTTTCCAGGGCCCTGTAATAAGAGTTTTTCCGCCGAAAATTCGTCGTTTTTTCGTGCAGGATTACATAATTTTCTCACTATTCCGTAACGAGAAAGTAAAATTGTAAGAATTTAGATAACAATTAGGAAATGTGAAAAATCTCTTTAAGGCGACTGCAGGCAAACTTACGAAAATAGAAACAAAAAGATAAAAAATATGACAAATAATACGAAAATACAGGGGAAAATATGACCATTATATGAAAAGTAAAGGAAAATCACCAAACGGTTACAAAAATTCAAAATATTACTTTATATGACAATGTGAAAATTGCATAATTTTAGTA